TGGTGTGGAAATTTAGTGGATGCTGCACCTCAGACTTGCAAAGTGCCAGACACTCGATGACACTTTAAATGCCACAGATAAAACAGTGAGAGACTCTCCAGGTAGCAGGCAAGACAAGGGGTCAGGGACCTCAGGGCCTCTGAGGTTCAGACAAAGAATAAAAACACCTTGGACACCCCTGTGACCTGGAGCTTAGGGGGACAATGACAAGGTGGCCTAGCTGGGGCCAAGATGCACGTGTCTGAGGGCCAGTGTCAAGGTTAAGAGCTCGAGGACTCTTGGGGCCTGCATGTTGCTGGGAGCCACACAGACCCTGTCTGGGTCAAGGCTCAGAGGGAAATGCCGAGGCCCAGGACTCAGACAAAAATTTGCCCCTCATCACACACAGGTGTCCCTGATGGATGGTCATCAGCACGTGGGTAGGCGGAGCAATCCCTGGGGGGTGTCTGGGAGACAGACCCTCAGTCCCTTTCCTCGCCACCCCCACCTTGCAATCAGATGAAGGGGCTGATCTTGGCTGGAAGGGAAGCTGCTGGTGGATGGGCACTCATTCACCACAGCATTCCAGGGCCTGGCCAGGGCCGTGCACATGATGGGCAGTTGAATCTGTGGCCTGTGTGAGTGTCCCACACTCAGCTGCACAAGGGACAGTGGCAGAACACTGTGCCTGAGTGGCGTGTGTGTGCATTGTGCAAAGTGGCTCTCTTTTCTTATCCTGCCCTCCTGTCTGTCTGTCTGCGTTTTTCCCTGCCTCTGGCTCTGGCTCTGTGACTGCCCCATCAGGGCTGTGCGCTCTCACCCAGTGACCCTGTGTGTGTGCCTTCTTTGGTGTCTCACTCAGACTCCACCCTGCCTTGCCTATCCCGTCTGTGCTTGACCTTGCCCCTTGCAGCTCTCCCTCTGTGGGTTTCTCTCCCTGGCTCCTCAGTGATGAGGAGCCAGGGAGAAAGGTTTATCTGCTGATAATATCTCAAATCGCTTTCTGGCTGGAGCAGTGAGCAGCCACCTGGATTTGTCAGTCTCCAGTCAGCTGCCATCCAGAGGGCACCATGTCCTGGCCCTGATAGTCCCTGAAGTTGTGTGTGGTGGGGAGGGGGTGGGAGGACATGGAGCCTGTTGCCTCAGGGGCCTCCCACCTGTTTAGGTCCTCGTCGCTTGTATTTCCTTCTTCCTTAGAGTCTGTCCCCTGGGAAATGGTACTTACAGAGATTGAAGAGTTTAATACATCTCTCGCTTCCTTTCTCTCTTCTGAGGCCCTGAGCAGGAGCAGCAGAAGCTGTCGCTGGCAACCCGGCCCCCCACCCTGCCCCAGATGCCTGGGTGAAAGAGGAGGGTGGCATGGAGCCTCAGCCAATTTGGAAAACACTGTGACCCAAGCACATTTTGCAGCAGCAGTGTCAAATTCTGCCGTTCAGGCCTGCCATTAGTGTGCACGCTGCCACACAGAAATCGGCGACAAAAGGCACAGCCTTCCCCACCCTCCTGGTGCTTAGAAACTGACGGTTTTAATGAAACATGAGAGCTGAAAGGAGAGAGATGGGGGGTGGCGGGGGCAGGCCACATCAGTGCAGGCTACAGCCGGATCTCTGAGAGCCTGACCCATTTATTTTGGAGGTAAGGGGCCTTGTGGACCAGCCTACTGAAATGTCACTTAAATTAGCCACTGCTCCCTGCACAGGGGTCTCCTCTGTCCTCACTCCTCCCTCATTGTTCTTGGAGGAAACCCGTCAACACGGCACCCTAGCTGCTCTCTTTTATCTTCCTTCCCAGGGGCGTCCTTGGTCCCTTCACCCCATGGACTTTCTAGAGCCATAAGTACCCCGAGTCCAGCGGCCCTCTTCCAAAAGACAAGCGAGAGCAGCCTGAGTGGAGAGAGAGGAGGGGGGCGTGCATTGCTCCAAGCCTCCCTTTTTTCCAGGGTTTTTGATTGTGCTGTGAGTTATTTAGCCAACAATAGATGTTTATGTATATATTTTTAGAGCTTGTATTTATTAACAGCCCGCAAAGGGGGAGACCAGGAGATTTATACAGAAAGCGCAATGAGTTAAAAGGGACAATTTGAGGAGAAGAAAGAGATATCGAGCATAGAATTGTAAAGGATAGTTTAACGCACAATCAAAGGTTCTTGAGGTATTTTCCAAGTAGTCAGAAGGTAAAAGAAAATTGGCCCATTATGAGCTGAAATGGGGTATTGGTGGCAGGGGAATGGAGGAATGGCTGATGGGCTGAACTCCTACTTAGGGGAAGGTGAGGCCAGAGAGCCTGGCTGGGAGGTGATGAACCGGAAGGTGACCACAGCCAGGTCAGGAGGCTCAACAGTTAAGTTCTGGCCAGGACCCCACACACTTGCTCCATGGCAGTCAAAGAATGTGCACACAGAGACTGGCGTCCTCTGGGGCAGTGTTGAGTGCGGCTCTGTGGTGCTGGGTCCCAGAGACAGGACAGCCTGGGGGGTTGACAACAATACCAGGAAGGATTTACTGGGAGCTCCTGGGTCTGAGGCTCCCAGCCAGCTCCAGGGAGCCTTCCCAGCAAACATGTGCTCTCAGAGGCAGGGCCCACAGCTCATCCTCCAAGAAGCCTTCCTGCCCCCTGCCCCCTCAAACCTGCCAACAGGCCTTCTGGAATGCCACTTGCCACAGTGGTGGAGCGCTGGGTGATTAGTTAGGTGATGAGCAAACATTTGCTAAATTGGCTTCTTGGCTCCTTGGTAATGAAAAACCCTAGTAGGAGAGAGAAGGGGGGAGACACAGTTTGGGAGGTTTAGGGATCGCCGCTCGTCAGCCAGCATGAGCACATTAGAGGCAGCTGGGGGGTATCTGGACAGCTGTGCCTGGAAGGAAGGAAGGAAGGAGATGGGCTGAGGGCTGAGCCCTCTGAGGATGGGAGAGAAGGTAGCACAGAAGACAAGATGGCAATGGGATACTTTCTGAGCTTGGAAGCAGCAGGTGTCTGGGAATGGGACTCTGGAACAGGCAGATTTCCAGCGAGCACTCCAGCTTGCTGGCACGAGGAAAGGATCTGGCTGAGCAGAAGAGGCAAGTTGTGATGATGAAACCCACTGCTGAGGAACATTGGCAAGCATGACATTGGTGGGGGCCACGTGCTTGGAGAGGGAATGGAGGTGTGGGGTAGAGGAGAGACCCCAAGTTGGAGGACACACCTCCATTTTCAGAGTAGAGTCCAAGTCCCTCAGTAGGCAAACCAGGCCTTTCCCTTGCCAGACCTACCTCCTGCACCTCCCCAAACAGCATTCCCTGTCCTCAACTCACAGCTCTTTGCTGATAACTCTAAATGCGGTGCTATTGCAGGCCTCCAGCCCTCTGCCCCACACTCTTCTCTGGCCACCTCATTCTCTGAGAGTCATGGAGTGCCACCTCCTCCTGGAAGCCCTACCTGACTGCTCCTACCCCAGGTGAGTTTCTCACTGTAGGGGGCAGGGGTAGTTGGGCACTAACAGAAGAAATAACCCCACACTGGTTTCATCAGTCCCGTACTTGTTTCCACATTTAGGATCTGAGCTCCTTGAAGGAGAGCCATGTCTTCTCTTTTTTAGGTCCCCAGAGTCTGGACTAATGGCTGGCAAACACAGGCCCTTGATCTGCTCTTGTTGAATGAAGGGTAGGAAGCCAGCAGAGCCCTGGGGTCATGGGAGGAACTTGTATAGAGAGACTCAGACCACCAGTGGTCACCCAGCCCCTCCTGCAGGTCACCCCTCAAAGTAGAGGGCTGTGTGGCTGGAGGGGAGAGAGGGAGGAGATGGCTTCCCCCTGGGGTCGAGGACGAGTGCTGAGTGAAGATGACAGAAGGGCTGGCCCCACTGGGAACAAAGGAATGGCCTCAGCTCCTTGGAGGAGGATAGGATTCCGGGGCAGGAGCCCACACCTCTCTGCCCTGAACCACCCAGGAGGGACACTGGGTCTGGTGAATACAGGGGCCTCCCCTTAGCCCCTGACTTGTCCACTTGCTCTGATATTATGGGCAGTGGTGTCATAACTGGGTAGCATGTGACCTGGTGAGTGGCAAGTGATGTCATCCACAATAGAGGGGCTATTATTCCCTCTACCTGTTAGAGAAGCTGCTAAAAATACACCTGGCGTCCTGAGCCCCTCTGCCTTGCCTCTAATAATCATCGGCAAACAGAGACTGTGCTGTGTTTGACAGAAGTGGATCATTTATAGAACATTAGCATTTCTCGTCCCGACATTTTACTTCCATATTACAGGGACTTACTAACTTTTATGAAAAAATTTAATAAAGTGCTTGGACTCTTGATTTTCCCACCGAGGGCTTTGCTATCTAAAGTTGGAAATGAAATCAGCAACATCCTCGGGTTCTAAGGGACAGCCAGGCCTTGGCACTGGCCTGGGCAAGAGCAGGAGGGCCATTGGGGAGCAACCACAGGCCAAAACCAATTTGTTCTGCCCTCGCTGGGCTCCCTTTAGTGCCCATTTGAAGCCTTGTACAGAGGGGGATTTGTCCAGACCTGAAAATACAGCCCTCCCCGCTCTATCTGGGAACTATCTCCTTTTCCCGAGGCCAGAGAGGCAGCTGCAACCTCCAGACCCAGTCCACTGCTATCTGGGTCGGTCCCTGGGCTCCTGGAAGCCCCTGTGGCCTCCAGGAACCACCAGTTTCCTCCCCGCCACCTCTGAGACCCCAAAGAATCACTCACTCAGCTGCTATTGGCGATGCCCTTGGGAACAGGCCAGGAAGGACCCAGCTAGCCTGCTCCGGGGGCGGGGTGGGGGGGGGCGCACAGAGACGGTGCCGACCCAGCACAGCAGTGTGGGAAGTGAGTCATGTTCTGTGCGGGCGAGAAAAGAACCGTGGATCGAAGAATGTGTGTGTGCGCACGCGTGCACACGCGTCCCAGTGAGTCAGCGTGCCCCTGCCCCACCAGCTCCTCCCGCCAACAAACATGCTGTGTTCTCAGAGCTGTGCCCAGGCAGGCTCGCCCACCCCACAAAAGCTTGGGAATGAGAAACAGGATTCTTGTCCAAGAGAAATTGTTTTTAATTATTATTTTTCTCTCTTAATTGGATTCAGTGTTTCTTACTCCTCATATATGTCCTCTCTGAGGGGGGGGAATTCAGGTTTGTGCAAAATGCAAAGGAGATTGTGCCCACCCGGGCCCCAGCCAGCAGTATGGCCGACCTGGACCGGAGCCTCTGCACCCTGCCTGGCCTGCTTCACTGCCTGCACATCCCCACTCCTGACCCCTGAGTCTGGCCCTGGACCTCTCCTGGTCCCTGGGCATCTTCAGAAGGGCCAGTAGGGACAGGGCCTCTAAAATACAGAAGTGCCTGAGATGGTTCTTGAAATGCCCGCACAGTTCCCCTCTGCTAAGAGGCCCCTGATGCTCTCCCTCCTGCCACCCTACACGGGGCCCTAGCTGGGATGCCCATCAGAGAGCCCCAAGAAAAAACCCAGCAGCTGAGCTGTGCTAGAGACCAGGGCTCCTGTCCAGAGTCTCCTGGCCTGTCTAGACCGTCGCTGCAAAACTCTAGGCTGACGACACTGCCCCGCTGCTCGAACTAACACTGCGAAGGCTGCTTCACCCAATGGCCTGGGAAACCCACAGCTCCTTGCCCCCCTTCCCTGTCCAGCCCGTCCACAGACCTGGCTCCCTGATGTCCAAAAAGCAGCTTCTCGTTTGCTTCTCACCCTGACGCCAGCAGTTACTAGTGGGGTGACTGTGTTCTGGGCAGCAGATGCGCTTGTGCTGCACATAAAAACAAGGTGACGCTCTAAATAGCTAGGAGTGTTGGTCCCTGGAGGGATTCTTACTGCCTCTCCTTCTCTCTGGCCCTTGGTTGCCTCCCCGCTGACCATCTGCCCATGCCCCTGGCAAGCCCAGGTTACGGGGGGCAGTTGCTGCAAGTTGGGCTTCTAGACAAAACTCCTATCACTCTTTTCTTGCTAGAAATCGCCAATACCATCGTTAGTTCAGCAGACATAGTTTTCCGTACAGTTTATAAACATGGTAAGACATACAGTCTGGTAGGGGAGTGGAGCAGGAGACCTGTGCCTTCGTGTGTGTATGTGTGTATATATATATATATATATATGTAGAGTGTGTGTCTATATATAAGTGGACATAGTTATAAAACTGCACCTCCTGTGAGAACCTCATTGCACATGATGAAGTTCTGAATGTCAGCCTCTGATGTCTTTCCTTTGGTAATCGGTTCTGGGAGCCCAGGGTGTGGGTGAGTGTGCCAGGGTTGCCTGAGACAGCGGGAGTGAGAGGCGTGGCCCCAGGGGAAGGACGAAAGGTGGCACACTGTTGGATCCACAGCAGGCTGACTACACGGCTTCAGGCAAAAGCCAAAAGGCCACCTGCTCGTGTGCTCCCAGACAGACGGTCAGGCCAGCCTCTTGGGTGAGCGTCATCTGTTCCTGAGCCCTGCTTCCTGCAAGAACGGGGAGGGCCCTTCCAACCTCTCCAAATAACCGGGACTCCACAGAGCCCGGCTCCCGTGGGGCGCCATGCCATTGTAGCTAATGAAGGGTTCCCTCTGAGCACTTGGACCGCCTCGCTGGACGGGTGCTGTCCGTGGCTGCTCCGTGGGGCTGGCTGGGACAGCCGGGTGAGGTGTGCTAATCCCCCCTCGATGGGGCTGTACACTTTGGGTTTATAATCCATCGGGTGGGGCCCAAAACGGCAGCAAAGCCTTTACCAGGCTCTGTCTGAAACCCAGCAGATACTCCACTTGTATAAAAAGAAAAGAAATCTGTTCCTTGGTGGACTTGTGGCAGTGCTGGGTGCTGGTGCCCTGGGTCCTCAGCCGAGAGTGACTGCCAGCCCCAGTATCCAGGCCAGGATGGAAGCCCCCAGAGAACTGCTGGAGGAGGCCTGCTGCACCCCGCTGGGGGCACGGATGGGGGTCCTGCGGGCACACTTGCCCTTCCTCTTGGGCCGCACTGTGGGCATGATGTCAAAACTGAACTTGTGCTGGTAGTCCGGGGCATAGTCCTGCAGCTCCTGGGCCTGCTTCCCCGCGCCCACCTTGGAGACCTGGTTGCGATTCCTGTGGCTGGTGCAGTTTTTGCCTGGCTTCCTATAGCCCGTCCGGGAGCCGGGCAGATGGCCGTGTGGGTGGCTCTTGTCCCTGGCGGGGCCGCGGGCCGGGTGGTGCTCCTTCCGGGCAGCCCTGTCGGTGGTGGTGAGTGTGTGTGACTTGATCTGGTGCGGGGACGCTGGCCCGGTGCAGTTCCGGAAGTCCTCGGCACTCAGCAGCTTCAGGTCCTGGCCCTGCCGCTGCTCCGGGGACACGCAAGGGACGGCGGAGCTGGAGCCGCGGAACCTCCGAAGCCATTCCCACAGGGAGCGAGCTCGGCAGCCGCAGTCCCAGGCGTTCCCGTTGAGGCGGAGGAACTCCAGGGCCCCCAGGGGTGCCAGGCAGTCGCCCTGGAGCTCAGAGAGACTATTGTTGAAGAGGAAGAGGGTGGTGAGCCGGCGGAGGTCGTGGAAAGCCTTGTGGTGGACCCACTGCAGCTGGTTCTCGTGCAGCAGCAGCCGGTCCAGATTCACCAGCCCCCGGAAGGTGTCCTGGCCCAGACTCCACAGCTTGTTGCCATGGAGGAACAGGTGGCTGAGGTTGACCAGATCCACAAAGATGTCATCCTGCAGGTACTCGATGTGGTTGTCCTGCAAATAGAGGTACTGCAGACTGTGCAGGCCGGCGAAGATGCCCGCGGGCAGGGCGCTGAGCCCACACTTATAGAGGTAGAGGGCGTGGAGCTTCACCAGGCCCTGGAAGGTCTCAGGTGCCAGCGTCCGCAGCTGCCGGTTGTCGCCGAGGTCCAGCTCCTCCAAGTGCACAAAGCCCTCGAAGGTATTGGGGTCGATGAAGGTGATGTTGTTGGAGTAGATCCACAGGGTGACCATAGCAGGGCTGAAGTGGCCCTGCTGGAGGAGGGTGATGCGGTTGTTCTGCAGGAAGATGCGCTCGCTGTCCTCTGGAATGCCCTCAGGGATGGCGGCGAAGTTGTGCGCCTGGCAGCTGACCGTCATGGGTGCCGGGTAGCACACGCAGTCCCGTGGGCAGCCGCCACCCAGGGGCAGCTCTCCAGCCAGCAGCAGCAGCAGCAGCTCCACACAGCACCCTGGTGGGGAGAGAGTAGAGCCAGGTCAGGGGCTGCCCCAGGCGGCAGCGGACTGAATGGGGGAAGGGAGGACGGCACAGCATGTGGCTCTCCTTGGAGTGCTGGGGCTCTCCTCTGTCTGCTCCCGGTTGCTCTCCGTTGTCTGGGATGGTGGCCCCCTTGAGGGCCTGACTCCTGATGGAATGAAGGCAAGGGCCCAGCCCAAACCAGACCCCCATCTGGGGGTAGATACTGCTTTCCACATCCTGGTACCCCACCTCTACTGGGGGTTCTATCCCCAGCCTGAATTGTGAGGTAAACTTGGGGGTAAGGCTCTGATTTCCCACGCATACTCCGTAGCCACGCCCCCAAACCCTAGCCCCGCCCAACCTCCTAGCTCCACCTCCTCAGGCTCTGTCAGCCCTGCTCTGGTGGGGATCACACTGCAGCCAGCCTCCAGTTCGGTGCCAGCTCTAACTCTTTCTCAGTGTTACCTGTGTGAACACGTAGCTGTTCAGACTCCTGTTCTAACCAAGTAAATATCTCATATGGAAGTCTGAGGAGACTCATTATTTAAATTATTTCCCAAAATAAGCAGAGCATGCATGTATGACACCAAAGTTCATCTCAAAAGATGTCTCATTTCTAAATAGGAATAGTTGTCCCTGGCTCAGCTGTGAAGAGGTACTGAGAGGACACAGGTGTGCTAAGGACTGGGGAGGTACCAGGGCTGACAGGGCTCTGGGGCCCATGGAGCTGCCAGACAGAGGTGCCCCCCTTGGAGTCCACCTCTGGCCCCTTCCCTCTCCCCGTTTCACTGGCTCCCAGGCTGTGGTTGCAAACCAGGCCTTGCCTCGAGACTGTCCAGAGCGTTTCCTCTGTAGCTTCCCTCTAATTGGGCATTAATTAGGCATTCGTTAATGGATCCTTAAAATAATTTATTTTCGGATGTGTCCAGCCTGTGGTCAGATAATAGCCCCGTGCTCATTATCGGAGCAGCCTCATTATGGACGACAGTCATTACCTGCCTTTTTCCAGGGTTGCAGCTGCCCCTGGCAGCCCGGCAGGCGCGCCGGTGTTGGGGGGACAGGCTCCAGGCTCGTCCCTGCCTGAGTTGGCCTCCTGCCCGTCCCTTCCAGCCTGGCCAGCCTGGCCTCGCAGAGAGCTGGGGGTCTGGGGCAACTCTATAGACTCTTCCTGCCGCCAGCTGTCCCCGGAGTGCGCAGAACCAGAGAACCGACCCTCCCAGCCACTGGGTCCTGCTCCCATCTTCATGCTGGCCACCCAGCCAGGCTCCCAGGCCTGCCTTTGCCCCAGCTGCCTGCCCAGGCTCAGGCAGGCCACTTCGCCGCTGCCACCCCTCATTTCCTGCAGAAGCGGTGTTGTAAATAAGTGACAGCTCCCAGCTGTTGGGAGTGATGGGCTCCCAGAGAGTGGCAGCTGTTTCCCGTCCCCTTGTAATCACCCGGCTTCGACCTGACGTTTCCAACACATAAAAATCATCGCACATAATTTGGTTTTTGCGTAATTGGGTTCAGTTACTTACAATTTCTGAGCAATTATGACCTTGGCAGTGGTGGTGGTGGCACTGCAGCTGTGGGGGCCTCTCTGGGCCAGGCTGTGCTCTGTGCAGCCCCTATAGTGCCTACCGTCATTGTGACCACCGGACAGGCTGTTGCCTGCGGGCCAGGCCCAAAGCATGAGGAGGCACGCCTCAGCCCATGTCCCTTCTGTAACATGCCACCCACGAGGAAGCCTGGGTCTGACCTCCAGCCTCCCACTGCTCTCCTCAGTCTGGCGGGGGGATCCCAGTCCCACAGGCAGAGGCAGGAGTGTGAGGGGATAGGAACCTGGGCCTCAAACCCCAGCTGACTCTTGCAGAGCCTGTGGCCTTGAGCCTCCAACACCCGGGCCTGGGAGGAGAGCCCAACACACACTGGCCGCACCTTTCAGAGCCTGACACTCCCTTTTCCTTTGCTCAGCTCCACTCCTTACCCCAGGAGCTGTCTTCCAGGAGCCCTCCCTCAGGGAGTGGCAGGGACCCTGCCACTGTGAGGGCCTCCAGGGTCCCCTCCTAGCTCAAGGGCATTTGTGGTGCCACTGTGCTGAAGGGGGACAGGGCCATGGCCAGGAACCTGTGCTTGTGGGACACACTAGGCCATACCAACCACCCCACCTCCAGGGTCCTGCAAAGACAAAAGCATTTCCTTCCCTTAAGCTCCTCATGATGGGCACGGCGGTGAGCTGGGGCAGGCTCGGTGCTAATGCCACTTGACATTTGTGCAGCTTATGGAGTTGACAAAGTACTTCTGCTCAAGCTCCTCTGATCCTCAGAATCACCCTGTGGGTGGGGGTGAGGGGTTTTCCTGCCCCACAACCTGGCAGGGGCGGGGTGGCAGACACCCTTCTGCCTGCTGTTGTAGATCTGTCTTTTTAAGGCTCTGGGATGGGGGTCTCTGAAATGATGCCCAGAAAAGCTGGGGAGACCACAGAGAGCAATACCACTTCCTCAGACAGATGCTTCCAGGGGATATCGGGGCACAGGGGAAACCAGGTGAAGACCCCAGTGTGGGTGACAAAGCCAACTGTCCAAAAATGTAGGTGTGAGCTTAGCAGCTGGCATGTAAACACACTCGGACAGGTGGGAGGGGGTCAGAGAGCGGGGAGGGATAGGGTAAAGGCAAGACTCAGGGCAGGAGCCACCATGCCTGTCCTCTTGAGAAGGGTCCAAAAAGGAGGCAGGGAGCTCAGGCAATGCTTGGAGCCGCTCTCCACCCTCCATTACTGCCCAGATGCCAGGGGACCCGTGCCATGGAAGCGGTCCCCTCCCCCTGGGTCCTGGAATGGGTCTCAGCTGAGTCTGGTTCTCCACTCTGGAGGCTGACCCCATTTTGAAGGCCCTGGACCAGACCCTGAAGCCCACCCCACCTGCCTCCGCAGCCTCTGCCCGAGCCAGCGGGTGCCCTGGCCCTAGACTGTCACCCTGCTGAGTTCCTTCCCAGGGAGGCTGGCACTCCATTGCCAAGACTCCTCTGTGCCCCCTCCAAGTGGCCCAGGGGAGCCCCAACCCACTGATTGCTGATTAATACACTAACAAGGAGGCCGGTGCCTTTGCTGTGCATTTTAAGATTGCAAATTAGCAGGGATCCCAGTCTCCATGGAGAAGCCTCGCACCCCCTCCCATCAGCCTCCTCAGTCCCCTCCTGGTAGAGCAGGGTTGCTGTGCCTGAGGGAGCTAAAGAGAGCCAGGCTGAGTCTCCCTCACTCTGTGGACTTCCTCAGGTTCTCCTCCTCCTCTCAGAGCATGCCCTTGACTGACTGCTCGGCTCAGCTGCTCCCACACCTCCCGGCCTCCCACATGTCTAAGCTCACCTGTGTCTCTGCAGCCTCATTCATTCCTTCCTCCATTCAACACTTGCTGCCAGAGTCCTGGAGTATCCAGTATGCCAGGGCAGGGAGGGGACTAGCAGATAGAGGGTCTTACACTATGAGGCAGTCTGGACAGGTGCCAAGCCCAAAGTAGGCACCGTGATGTGCAGGGGGAGTTGGGGAAGTTCAAGGAAGGCTCCTGCAGCCCCTGTGTCACCTCCTCCATGAAGCCCTTTGCTCCCTGCCAGCAAAAAGGTTGTGTAGGAATGAAGAGTGGGCATTATTTTCATGTCTTCCTTCCTGCAACCCCAAACCCCCTCACCTGCCGGACCGGGACTTGTTGGGGCAGAGGCGAGTGGCCGGGGCCTGGGCAGGCACCACACCCAGTCCACTCGGCAGCCCATTCCTAAGCTGTGCTTATGAACCATCCTGTGGGGGCTGGACCTGGTGGGATAGGTGGGAAGGGCATGTTCAAAGGCATTGAGGTAGGGAAGCAGGTGGCAGGTCCCCCTCTTATCCTGGCCCCTCTGCCAGTGTCTAAGTAGCCAGAGCTCCCAGAGAGGCTGTAACACCAGCTCAGCTGGGCTGGGACCCACTCCTGGCAGCAAAGGGAGCTAAGCAAGAAAGACCCAGCTCTCAGCCCGGGCCAGTTTCTTTAAATGGAATCCTCACAACAGCCTATGGGTGCCGTGCCCTTTCATGGAGGAGGACACATAGCACACGGGGCAGGGGCTGGCCAAGGCCACACAGCTCGTGAGCTAGGCAGTGGGGCGGGCCAGCTCCATTTACACCCATGGGAGGGCTGGTCAGCCCTTTCTGCCCCCAAGATCTCAGGCCTCAACCTTTCTTGAGTCTGACACTTGACCCCAGAGGGTCTCCCCCTCCATACACCTGCGAAGGAACGGCCCGATGGCCTGGAATCCCCATGGGCCCTAGGCAGGTCCACGGGGCTCCCTGAGCCTCTGAGATCAATAACCACGTGGTCAATTCTTCTGGCTCTGCAGCCCGCCCTCCTGTGAACAGGGCAGAGCTCCCCTCAACCCCGGCCTTGCCAGATGCTCCTCTCCGAGCCAATCGATGCTAACCAAATGGCTCTGCTGGTCAGATAATGACCTCAGGTTGGGCCAGCTATGCTCACAGAGCTACTGGCGCCTCAGGCCCGCTTGGCACTGTCCCTCTGTGCTGCACCCCGACACAAGTCACTTCCTGGTGGGCATCCCTCCACCACCTCAGCCTGGCCTAGCCCTGGAGACAAGGAAGCCAGCCAGGGCAGAGCTGGGCTTCCCTCCTCGGCCCCCACAGCCAGGCATGGGGGGTTGGTCAGGGTGGCTGGTGTCTCATGGCACAGGGCAAGGGGACCAGTGCAGGCCTTGGAGCCAGAGAGATCTGGGTCCCGGTTCCCCAGCTTAACAAGCGCATCCCCTTTCTTGTGTGAGCCTCACTTGCCTCACCTGTAAAATGGGTATTACCCTATGAAGCTGCAGCCCGGCCCTCTCCTCCTGCAGACGCCCGTATCCGCCTGCCTAGTGCACATCTCCCTCTGTCCAGGGGAGCTGCTGCTCATGCAGGGGAGCTGCTGCTCGCTCCCCACAAACTTCCTCCCACTGCTCAGGCCAAGAACCTCAGAGTCATATTGACTCTCTCCCTCCCTCACCTCTC